AAGACCACCCCGATGTCCCCAAAGCCACCCTTGATGTCCCCAGGGTCACGGAGGCCACCCCTGATGTCCCCAAGGTCACCTCAGCCCTGACCAGGTCACCCTTGATGTCCCCAAGGCCACCCCCATGTCCCCAAGGTCATCTCTGATGTCCCCAAGGTCACCCCTCATGTCCCCAAAGCCACCTCTGATGTCCATGGTGTCCCCAAGGTCACCCTTGTTGACCCAAGGCCACCCCAATGTCTCCAAGATCATCCCAATGTCCCCAAGGACCCCCCCCATGTCCCCAAAGGCCACCCCAATGTCTCCAGGGTCACCCCAATGTCCCCAAAGGTCACCTCCATGTCCCCAAGGCCACCCCCTGTTTCCAGGGTCACCTCCATGTCCCCAAGGCCACCTCTGATGTCCATGGTGTCCCCAAGGTCACCCTTGTTGACCCAAGGCCACCCTTCATGTCCCCAAGGTCACCCCACGTCTCCAGGGTCACCCCAGATGTCCCCAAGGTCTTCCCAATGTCCCCACAGACCACCCTAGATGACCCCAAGGCCACCCCAAGTCTCCAGCCCCCCCAATGTCCCCAAGGCCACCCCCATGTCCCCAAAGGCCACCCCAAGGTCACCCCAATGTCCCCAAAGACCACCCCATATCTCCAGGGTCACCCCAAGGCTCCAGCCCCCCAATGTCCCCAAGGCCACCCCAATGTCCCCAAGATCATCCCCATGTCCCCAAAGACCACCCTCATGTCCCCAAAACCAACCCAGATGTCCCCAAGGCCACCCCATGTCTCCAGGGTCACCCCAATGTCCCCAAGGCCACTCCAGATGTCCCCAAGATCATCCCAATGTCCCCAAGGCCACCCCCATGTCCCCAAGGCCACCCCCAAGGTGTCCCCAGGGATGTCCCCATGGGCCTCCCCACCTTCTCCTCACCTCCCCCCACTGTCCCCAAGGCCACCCCATGTCCCAAAACCATCCCAGATGTCCCCAAAGGCCACCCCCAAGTCTCCAGGGTCACCCCACTGTCCCCAAAGACCACCCCATTGTCCCCAAGGTGGCCCCAGGTTGTCCCCCAAAGTTCTCCCCCAACGTTCTCCCCACAGATCGTGTCCCCACGTCCCTCCCCCGTGTCCCCAAGGTTGTCCCCACGTCGTGTCCCCTCCCCCCGCGCGCCCCAAACCAGAGCCGGGGGGTGGGGGTGGGGGAGGGTCCAGCTTTATTTTGGG